GTAGCTCTAATAGCTATATAAGCTCTCGTAGGCCCATATATACATGTACCCCGCTGCTCACTTGACGTTATTTTCCTGGTATATGACTATGGTCCCATCAACCCAAGGCTCAGTTTGAACTTGGTCTGCTTTTGTGTTTTGTTGCGTTCCCTCTTTCGAAATTATTCTTTAAAATTTACAAACTAATTAATTATTGCATGATCTCACGAAAAAGTAATTTATTGGCATATGAATAGAAACACTGTTGAAGCTGCTCGCTCATAGCAGAGTGCATCGGAGTAGCCAGCCTCTGGTGCCGACACTCACTGCCATCCTTGCTGCTCCTCGCTCGCCTCGGCCGCTCTGTCAGTGTTGGGCTGAGGCGGGCTTCGCTCAGCGGCCCCAGACGCGCGCAGTTTTTCCTGAGTTAAATTGATGTGCCGTGAAAAGCAGGCCATTACCGTCTATCTGACCGAAATAGCTTGCTCGGATTTCTTCTGCTGCAAGTGTTCCAAGCTCAGAACACGGCCTCGAAGATAACTTTATTTCGATTGCCAACAAACTTCCCAAACAAATTCTTGTTAGTCTCAGTCGCCCCAAATTTTGCTTGTAAATTAAAATGCTGGAGAAATGACCAGAGGAAAAAATGTCAATACTTGTGCTGTGATCTCGCTCGCCGTATACTACTTATCCCAGCCTGTGCATGTATTTGAGTGGTCGCGGTACACAGAGAGTGGCGTAATCGATTCATCCTCCGGCTATTCCAATCTTTGAAATATGTTTTACTTCATTATCTTTCACTCAAGTCTGGGTATGTAATATACAAAAATTTACTTGATCAAAAGGCGTCCTTACGTTAGTTTTCGAGATCAGCATTCAACTTACCGAGTCGTGTTTTTTTTATTCTATTCGTTTATGTTCCCAAAGATTAGGAACCCCGAGCCTAACCACAGTCAAGTTCTCGCGAAAAATTGTAAATTTGAGGTTTGTTAAATAATCATATCAGCTTATGTGGATGACTGAGATAAAAATTTGTAATAATTTTTCAATCTATGAAGTGCGTTCTCAAGTTCATCCTGAGTAATTTTGAGTATACGTACAGTGGCTTTTTATGAATGCTCTTGAGTAGGTTATGGCACTTTAACTACGCTGTGACTTAAATCCACCCTTTGTAAAGAGTTAGTTAGGGCGAGGACAATGGATTGAAAACGGTTGACTTTGCCCACCGTTTCTTCGGTAAAAGTGTACCAAAGTGTTAATTGCGCCCACACGTTCTATATCTGCGCTTGGAAAAGCGTCACAAGTGTCTGGCCTCCCCTTTCCCCCGTAAGAAGAAGGGCAACCAAATGTGCATAAGGTAGAGGCCAAAGAACGACCATCTAATTCGACCAGCGATATTTCAAACTAAATATGAGTGGCCCGTGATTAATATCCCACAGTATTCATTCGCCGATTAATATTTACTTTTAAGCGAGACCTGCGCTGCTCGGCCGTTCTGCACAACTGATGTAAAGCCTTGACGTGTTTCTGATTCCAGACAAGCCGCGCCCGCACTTCCTTTTCAGAACTCATGGGTTGCCAGAATAATGACAAGTAAGAGTAGGATTTGAAGAACGCAGATGTACTATGCGTATCTAAATAAATAACGAACTTTAATGATTTATTTGCATTATCTAAAATTTACATTGTGATGGTAATTCTGATAAATCCGATAAGCATGCGATGACCGGTAATCGGTGGCCCCATTCTACACATTAACATATCTGAAAAAAAAATTTCTTCGAATTGCAGACCTAAAATCTAGAAAGATTTGCCTATGGAAATTTAGTAAATCGTATTACTTGGAAAATTCGAAGATTGCACTGAAGTACGCTAACGAATGTTAGCAAGACGACAGTTTTTGCGTCATTCCCCGGGTCTCCTCTAGTAATCGCGCTGTTTGAAGTCCTCAATGAGGCGTACTGGAGCACAAAGAAATGAAAGCTCCCCTAACATTTTACTGCTATGGAGACCGCGCTTGTTGCGGACAGCTAACAAGGTTATGCTCATCGACCACAGAGATTTTCATCTCTAAGCTGCTTAATTGTGACACGTAGTTACAATTACCTAGAAGTTATATTTTTTTAGATCATGATTGTGAATTTTGGGTCTGACTATAGCAAGTTTAAATTTAAAAATTATTATTTTCTGACTAAATTGAAAATAATTTAAGAATCGTCGATTCATTAAAGATTAAACATAATCAAATTGTGATCTCTTTCAAAGGAAATGTCAGAAAATTAACACGGCAACATTGGCTAAATTTCACGCTTGTTTAAATCTTTCTCTTATTCAACTACCTTTGTTTCATATTTTGAATGGCTTGTCGATGGACAAATTATGTCCCATCAATAACTTGCCTTTCATTTTCAAATAAGAATTCAGAGAAGTACGTGTTTACAGTGGGTGACTTACAGAGGTAATAAGAACGGCCTGGAGGCAGAACAGAGTAAGCTAGTCCACTGTAGTGAGAGGTACGACTTTAATGAAGACGACACATGATCCCATATTAATTTCCTGCGTGGAATGATACGGCCGCGGCTGACGCGTAATTGAGAGGCTGTGAGCCGCCCAGCCGGCTAAGCCAAGCTTCTTTTAGCCCGAGCCAGGCGTCACTTAAGGGTCGTCTCTCAGCCACCTCTCATTATTGGAAAATGAACAGCAATTCCCATTAGGCTTTTGTCTTCAGGTCTAAGAGAATTGACGATGATATTTTAGTCGAAATGCCTCCATCGAACTTAAAATTTCGCTGGCTACACTTGGGACGACTGGGCCAGGCAGCTTCAGCTTTCGCGCCTAGTTGCCTACGTCGAGATGAGATTATTAAAAGATTTACTAAGCTCCCGCTAGTAAAATGATGCTCAATATATCCACCGTAAAGTTGGCAACCAAGTTTGCGTAAGCTGCTGAGCGCTTAAAACGTTCCACAATCGCCGCACCCAGTATGTCGTGCTACTCACACATGTGTAAACATGGCAGCACATATTTCATGATCAGGCGCGAAGTCCTTATCAGCGGTTCTATCTATGGATGGAGCTTATATGTTTGACGTCTCGCGTATAATCCGTCCTTCTCCGAAGCTCCGAAGGAGACCCACGCGCGCTGCAATGATAGCACGCACAAGTCTACGGTAAATAAAGTCAAGATATGAGATCATTTTAATTTTCGTAACATGTACTAGTCTACGGTAAATAAAATCAAGATTTGAGATCATTTTAATATGGCTAAAACGTACAAGTCTACGGTAAATAAAATCAAGATTTGAGATCATTTTAATTTGGGTAACACTTTCAAGTCTACGGTAAATAAAATCAAGATTTGAGATCATTTTAATATGAGATTTCCATATGCAATTTTACCGAAGGCTAGGAGTCGCAGCAATAAACGGCAGGATATTTATTAAAATGAATTGGTTACTAACGTGCTTGTACATGGGCACAGTAGTGGCAGCCAGTACAACTTACAAATGCTAACTGTAGTAGCGAGAGAATTTGCCACATTAAAAGTCTTCTGGGTCTCGGCCTGCGAGTTATACTGCGTTCATAATTTTAGGAACTGAAGGATTTCAGGCCGCATGGTATACTGTAGACTAGCGTAGATATTCAAGACATGGTTGCATCCAGACGACTTATACGTCAATAGTACGTGCCATAATACTTTCCTTAGAGATAAAAGAGACGATGGTAAGGTTGTAAGGTTGCATTAGCTGCCAACTAGTGCAAGACTTCTTCCAAAGACAGGTCTGCTTGAACATTTTCTCATCAGTAACGTTTGTAGAACTAGGCGATTTGAAATATTTAAACTTTTAAAGCATTGGGAACTAAGCGAGGCCAATACATGGCCCGCTATACTGCTATAACGTATTTACGGGTATATAATGGTCTCTTGCATGGATAGGTGCTACTGATCACGGAAAGATTAAGCAATCTTTGTGATTGAGGCCAGGAAACAAAATAAATGCCGTGACTAGTGCTTGCATTTTGTTCCATCCACCACCACTGTCACCGTATTCACCAAAACATTTTTAGGTATTCACAAAAGTCAGTGTCTGCTACAACCTTTCAATAATGAATGAAAAGAAAATTTTCGATTTGTTCCTCGTTTTGTTCAACTCTAGAACCTGTCTTGATTTGCTCTTATAACCTGCATCATCTGTACTGATGGAGAGGAACTGAAGCACAAATGACTATAGAAATATTCGAGCACAAATTAGCATTGCATCCAACACACACACCACTGCATGACCGAATATACCATCACTGCACAAACCCGTGCTCTTTTACCTACAAATGTGTTTCCGATTGCTCCGCATTACACATCAGCTGTTAGAAAAAGTTACATCAACTTTACAACCAGCTGATTTACATCGTACGCGAATCAAATTATCACGACTAGTTTTACTCTCCACCTCGAAGAAATTGATCATAAAGTACTAGTACACAATTATGTCCTTATCTGTGGTTCTCAAGTAAGGTTTTCATCAAGCGAAGCAAGAAGAATCGCGCAGCAACTCGCATTAGGCGGCTAAGCTCGTAAGCCTGCGATGGCGCATTAAAACTGATAAGAACATCGCCTTCACCTCAGAGCCGAACTCCACGCTTAGCAATACAAAACTGCCAGCCCCTCTTGTCTGCTTTTTGCAGTGCGCTTTGAATACTCGTCGCTCATTCTCAAGAAAAATACGCTAGAAATACGCATGACATGGACCATCAATTGCTTGTGAAAGGCAGCTAAATGCAAGGCAAAAACGCTAGATTACAAGATCCCAAGTCCGTTTATTTTGGTAATTTTTAACTTTTGTGATTAAAGTTTTAAACTGCGTTATATCGTTTCCATGTGAGGGTAAACGTCTGATTTTTCCTGTTTTTTTTCGCGTCGCGTATAAATTTAACTATTTAACTATTATTTAACTATTTTGATGCCTTCATTTACGTTAAATCAACCTGAATAATTTAATTAAAATTTTATCCTGGTGTTCGCAGGTTAGCAGTCATGAAGGCGGACGACAAAGATGTGGCGTCTTCGTCAGGCGTGAGTGATGGTGACGAAGAGGGTGACGAGGAGGAAGGAGTTACTTCGTTAGGAGCTTCTGACCTCATGGAGAAGCGCGCTCGTCTGAGCCCAACAATCAAACGCGGCCGCGACGCTTGCCCCGCTGTTTGCTCTGCGATGCCGGCGTCGCCTAATGTTGTTGTCGCCGCCGAGACCAAGCCCCGCCACTGGTCCTGCAATAACAAAGACTACTGTCGCCACCGAACTTCGGCAGACCAGAGAAAATGTCTTTCTTTACTTTACGCAGAACACAGCCGCAATAGTGGGCATGTGCCTGATGCAGAGAGCCATCTCATGGGAAAAGAAAATGGTCAAAATCCTCTGGGGCTTGGAGAGGCGTGGCAGCCTCAGAATGCGCAACATGGCAACAGCAACAGAATGCTTTTTGATTCGTCGGACGACAGTGAAGATGGAAGAGAGCGACCAGGCGACGAGCAGTACGAGGGCAGTGAAGAGAATGACGACGACGACGCAAAGAGAGACCGCTTGTACCAACAGAGCAGATTTAATCATTACCAGAAACTCCTGAAGGAACACGAATTTGTAGAAGGAGGCGATGAAGAGGAGTACCTTAGGTTCCTTTATCGCCGCCATCTCTACTATAATCAACTCCAGAAGATATCTCCGAAAAATATTAAGCTTTTCAGAAGGTTTGAGCAAATGCAAAACGAGCGGCTCAAGTCGCAAAGCAAAGGAGCTCAAATGTCACATGAGCTGACGAGTGCCCAGGCAAGTTTAGCTATGGCAGATATTGACTTCAGGAGTCGAAATAAATTTTACCGCCGGTCGAAAGGCCAGGAAAGTGCCGGCAAGTGCGGGTCTCTGGAATCCAGAGTCCAAGTGCGGGGCAAACCTACCACCAGAGATTGTCTTCACACGTCCTCTCAGAAACCTGATTTCAGAAGGGAGGACTTGCACGCTGGCCAATCTGGCCGAGGCGGCCACTCTACTTGTTCGACGTCTACTTTTGCGCACCTCGACAATTTCTTGACCATTCCATTCTTGCTGCTGGCATTCCTGTCATTCCTGCTGGTCGTGGAGTCTGTCAACGGCTGTCGGTTGTCCGAGTTCACATGCGGAAGTTACGACTGCATCAGCGCGGACGCATTTTGCGACGGCGAAGCCGACTGCCCCGACCGCTCCGACGAACCCAGAGACTGTTCCCGTGAGTACCAGAAGTGTCAAGGGGTACAATTGACTGCTCTCGTGAGTACCGAGGCTCTGTCGAGGAGTAAAATACTGTTCCTGTGAGTATTATGGCTTTGTCAAGAGGTACAACTGACCGTTTGCCAGGGCTGTGATAAGGGGCACTGCAGACTTTTCCCAAGAGTTTCAGGAGCGTAAAAGAGTGATGAGAAACTGTCCCTGTGTGTTCAAATTTTGTTAGATGTCACCGAAAGACTGCTCCTTTTAATAAGAAGGGTTCATCAAGGGGTACTGTAAGTGTCGGAGTTATCGAATGGCATCGCAAGACTAATGTCAGGAGGTTCAGCAAGTCAGTTCCTGTGCACACCTAGATGCGGTCGAATGGGACTTTGAGTGCGGTATCATGGTAGGAGTTGAGGTTCTTAGGTACGCAATTGGTACCGAGTTCTCAAATTTCAGTCCACCATATTTTTTTCTTCCTTGCTCGCCAATGTTCCTGAAGCGCGAGAAACTTTTAATCGCCCTAAACTGTGACTGAGGATATACAACCCTCCGTTTTTGTGCTAGGTTTCATTCACTGATGGGAACTAACGGATTTGGCTATCGCTTTTCATTAGATTCAGAAAATCCTAGTCACGCAAATTACCGGTCCTTTTGTATTGCCACTAACTTTGATTAAAATCAAATCATTCGTAGGAATTTCCAGCGATTTGAAAGCATCAAGTCAATAATTTGTATTAAATACCTTAGTTTGCTTAATTATTTTTACTGGTTTAATTTACGTTTAGACGTATTCATACGAGTGAAGGTTGGGTGAATAGTGAATAATGTAATTGTTTCAAGCGGAAAAGCTTGCAAACAGCCACGTCAAACGCTAGGAAAAATCATGTTCCGATCCACAGTACCTACTGTGTCGCGTTTAATTGTTTACTCAACAACCGTCGTTCAAGTGAAAAGATATTCGTGCCTAGAAATGCGCGTTCGAGCAGAGCTTTTGTGAATTTATCGCTGTCATTCCCGAATGCTGAAATCACAAGCTGCTCCATCCTGCGCTCCTTCGCCGGCCCTATAGACACAGGTAAATGTTTATGTTTGAATCTTGATCTGGACGATTTCTTGACAAGACAAAACATGGCCGAATATTCTTAGAATCTGGCCCGGCTGCCAAAGGCAAAACTTGTGTCAAGGCAAAGAAGTCAAACTCATTTGGCTAATCTCACTGGTTGCCGGTCAAGTGGAAGTTCAATGCGATCATTTCCCTGTTTGAGCACTAGAGCGGAATCGTCCTATCAAGGGAGATTCGTGGCATGTAAAGAAGAAGCTTGCCAGATTTCTACAATTTTATTTGATTGTAATCCGCATCATTTCATTGAATAATTGTTTCAAAATAATTATTAAACAAAATGAACCTAATGAGGTAAATCTTAGACTCAACACGCACACAGATCGCGACGAGTTTATTTATCGCACGTTTTGTTGGGTATTGTTTCGAGTCGGTACCGGTTTTCGAAAGTTGTTTGGAAAAAAGTATGTATATATTCGACATAATGTATGTATTTTCCTGGAGTCTCTCATAATTTTTATGCATCTTAGTTCTGCACTGGGGCAATATTAGAATGCTGCACCTTGAAGACACAATTTCTGGTGTTGCTTTACTGCGGTGAGTTCTTTGAATTTTGACTTTTGAAGTGATTTTATTCATTTTAGTTTAGTCGAACTGATGATGGAGCTGGACTCCGAAACGTTTTCAATATCGATATGGTGAATTTTCTTGGCGTTTTCTTTGCTTTTAAATTCATTGAGTATTTGTTTTAAAATAATTATTTAAACACAATGAACCTCATGTGTCAAACAAAGACGAGTTTATTCGACCCATGTTTGATTGGGTTTTGTTTCCCGTAAGCACAGGTTTTCGAAAATTGTTTAGAAAAAAGTATGTATATATTCATCGCAATTTTGTATTTTCCTGCGACCACTCATAATTTTTATGCATCTTAGTTCTGCACTGGGGCAATATTAGAATGCTGCACCTTGAAGACACAATTTCTGGTGTTGCTTTACTGCGGTGAGGCCAATTTCGGCCGAAAGTATATGGGGACACAGCAGCGCAATCATTGGTCTTGCTGCACAATGGAGGTCCTTCTCACCGAGGCAATCCGGCCAGCAAAATGTTGCTATAGCCTCTTCTTCTGCGCACAAATCTAAGGGAAATATTCAGTGTGCTAGACTGAAGTTGGGAGAACTATGAGGCAAGGAAACTGCCCACCTTGTGAGGCGTGTCAGATAAAGCAAAGCGACTGCATCGTATGTCCACCTTGTGAGGCGTATCAGATAAAGCGCCTGCATCGTATAATGCATAGTTGCATAATGTATTATCGTCTTCTATTCACACGTTGTGAGACGTGTAAATTAACGCATATTAGTCTCGTCTACGCACGTTATGAGGCATATTACTTTACAAACTTTACAAAGAGTTCAGTTGTTGTGAGGCATTACTTCTCGTATAATTTTACGTTTCTTGCTGACTACGTGATTCGAATTAGATGCAAGAATAAAACAAACAGCGCGTGCCTCAACATTGAGTAGGAAATTCACTCACACGACAAGTCTTGGTATTCCTGGTTATATTCATAAGAGTGAAACTTTAGATTTTCTGCGGCGCTAAGCGAGGGAGACGAAGTGTCGAGCAAGAATTAGAAGCAGATCGTTGAGAGCGAAGGTCTTGTATTTGCAGCGAGGGTTGGCTGCTCGACATGGCAAGCGCTGTGTCGTAAACTGCAATCATGGAACTCTTTACTGCTTCGCTTGCAATGCAACTCAGGAATAGAGAGACACTTATAGCCGAACTCATCGCTTAGAAATACACGACTCTGATACCCGGCGACCATCTTCCATTCCAAAGACGCGCCGATGTCTTCTTCCCGCATTCAATGGCTGATGGCTCAGCGAGTTTGCTGCATGTTTGCTCTCGAAACTAAGCGGGTATTTCAGTTCACTTCTGCTTCAGCCTTCCACTTTTTGTTTATTTTTATAACAACTTTCTCAGTTTTCCACCCACCCGGAATGACTTTATGTGCTCGCCTTATGTTGTCGCTGACTAGAATGTTCGAATTTATACAAGATTTCTTTGTTAAATCAGCGCTCAGTCTAGCGGTTAAATGTTCTGTTGTCTTGCCCGAACAGAGAATAGAGCCAAGCTGTGCGGGGGCAGCTTTTGCCATACTAAATCCTTTCTGTTACACCAACAAACAATTCAACTCATCCACTCCATCTTTGATCTAAATCCTTACCTACTACACATGCATACAATTCAGCCTCCCACCCCAATTATGAATTAAAGTCATCAACTGCTAAACCAACGAACAATTCAACAACATAACTCCAATTTTATATTCATTGATCGCCATTTTTTTTCTCCGCCTGTACTTCCGGAGTTGAAAGCCGCATCAACATGTTATACTAATTAATTTCTAACATTTCCATAGTCTCTTCAATTCTGTTGCCTTCAGTGGAATTTTGCATGCGTATTTACTAATTTTGTTTGTTCATTGCAATACTCTGCCCTATTTTCCTATTAATTTTTCCGCACAAATGATGTTTATTGGCTGCCTTCAGTAAACGAACATTAATGCTTTCTAGGTCTGGATTTATGCTGGACTTTTAACAATACTAAAGGCAAAGCTGAAACAGAATTGTTGTAGTTCCCTTTGTTCGCGTGTGGCCAATCAAGACCAAACATTTTTCTCGATTGTTGCAGGCGAGTTTCGTGCCGGCTGGCAATTACGTGCGCTGGGCCATCGAACCTTCGGACTGAACAATCAATGTCGCTCTTCAGTGTCGTGTTCTCATCGAGATGTTTGTTTTTAATTTGAATTTTCATCGAGCGGAAACTTATGTATTCTGCGCAACTTCGTCTAAAACTCAGATGAGAAAAAACTAAATTCCCAAAATAAGTCCTCACAGACAAACGTGTGGTTTGATTTCAGAACGTTTTTCACGTATTTTAATATTTGTTGGGTAGCGTTACGAAGCAAAATTTGATTCAAGCGGTCATTTTTTCGTGGCAGAGCCTTGGAACAATCAAGTATGGAAACAATTTTTCTAAAAATTTTCCTCTCTAATGCAGACAAATTTTAAAAAGAACTTCGTTGCTCGTCGTAATTCATCGTGGGACTGATGTAAGTTGAAATTGATTGACAAAAATGACAGAATTCCAATTGACCCTCAGCGCGGTCAGATGACCAATTCTCCAAGCGACAGCAAGCGTTCTCCTGTCCCTATTGTCAATCGGTTCGCTGCCACACGCCAGATTAAAAGCTGAAGAACTTTGTCTGGAAATCTCATGTTAGATGAGTAAAGAAATCCGTTCGCAGGTCCGCCAACTTTGTTCATTTTGTTGAGAGTGAGGCTCCGCGCAAAGCTTCGGCCGCTGCCCCAACTTTTCTAACAGGGCTTTGATGGACAAATGTAATGGCGGGGTTTTCATGAGTGACTTTTAATTGCTCATTTACGGGTGCGGTTCTCCATCTTTACCCTGCCTTTTGAAACACGGCAGACTCATTGCGACGGGACGACACTTAATTCGAACGACAGCTCGAATCAAACATGGCACTTTCTCCGGCATTGTGAGCACATCTGGCTTCGCTATCAATTAAAACCTGTCAAATATTCTAACTTTATATGGTGAAATGTGTCCTGAAAGGGTGTCTCTAATAAATTTATTTGTACAGTGAAGATTTGCCTCAGTTATTTTATCGTTGAAGTATGGCTGCCGCGTATGGCTCATATTGCGTGTGAACCTGCCACGTATAGGTCAGCATCAACATTGATGATAAAAAGTTGTCTATCAATTAATGGTGTTTGAAGTGCTAGCGTGAATCAAATAGGCACTAAAACATTTATGACCATTTGAAATCATATCCTTCATGCTCTTTCACGGTTACTTATATGATTCATTTTCTTAATTTTTGTCGTCGAACTGCAGTGTTGAGCGGAGCATCATTGCGAAGTATCGTAATATCCGAGCTAAGCCTGCAAAACTCTAACGTTGTCGCCGATATGGAGTCTTGAGCCGGCCGATGATCCGGGTCCCGATCTCTGAAAGTTATTTGCAGCGCCGGAAGTGCTTCTGAGCGCCGCCACGAGCCGTGTTTACAGCATCACACAGTGCCACTCCGCCCCCTTCTTAACATCTGGCCATATCGTTTATCGAAGTCCAGTCCCCTAACGCCGCTCCCACTGGGGGGAGCCATTCAGAAAACGGATGGTCGTAGCCATGTTGCCTCGTCCGTTAGTTCGGAACGATCAGCCCAGCCAACAACTACCTATACCTGCTCACCCGGCAATAAACTCTACGCGTTTTACGTGCCTTCTTTGCTGGCGAGGCAGCCGAATACAAGCCTCAAGATGCCAACTTGGTCGTGTAAACTGCTCTGCTGCAGCCATTCCTGTAGATTTACTCATGCTAGTATTTCTCAGGCTAGATTCATCACTATGTACAATTGTTGAAAAAAATTTAATTCTACATACTTTTGGATATGTAAATAATTAACACACTTTCTATGTGACGTTCAGTTTTATCTGTAATTTTGTTTTGAATTTTCTGAGAACTATTCTTTGTTCCTCTCTACGGTGTTTCTACCATTAAACAAAAAATAGATCAGTAATGAGTGCAGTGAGTGACAGAGAGCGCATTTTCTCGTCCGTGACGTGAAGTCACGGGTGGACGGACGGACATGAAGAGCACAATAGCGCCATTTTTTCCATAAATGAGAAAATGCGCTAAAAAGTCAGACGTCAAGTTGATGTTTATGGAGAATTAAATTATTGTTTACATCCCTTGTTTACAAAAAGGGATCATTTTTACTCCGATTCAGCTTTCGGATGATGAAATAATTTGAAATTTTGAAGCCATAATTTTGTTTAATCTAATATTAATATAAACCCTTCATCAGTAATTCGAGAGAAGAAGGCCAAACAATTCAATCCAATCTCTGACCGTGATGTCAACAACATTTAAATTGTCGTGAGAGTATTTCTATACTATACGTACGCTAGCATCCAATAGTACATGATGCGGTATTCGTAACTTGTTGCTACTCTCATCACGCAATCTCTAAATTTTCGTACCGGTAAGCTATTTTTTCAAGTGAGCAATTTTATTGTCTAGTAAATCTCTATTTAGACTGGCAGAAAGAAAAAACAACTAGAAAATAGCTTATTATTCATTTATTCCTAGCTTGCGCGAACTATTTTAGCATTTGTTGCGATTCGATAAAATCTGTAAATTTAGCATACATTTAATGAATAACTTGATTGCTCTGTGTGGTTAGTAAGGCTACTATACTTCACGCTAGGAGTGCGCGGGACAACAACACAAGCTAACAACGTTCGAGCGACGGCTGTATTAGGCGTTCTGGATGGTGTCTTTATTTAAGCGACCAAAATGAGAGTCCTAGTGAGCTTGATCTTGTGGGTATAGTATATAGTGTTGGTGATGATGACAAAGGAAGGCTATTTTTGACTTGTCGCCAATTCTTGTAATTATTGCGCTTATTCACTGGAGAATCGATCAATAACTCAAGCTTTGGATAGAGAACGCTTCGTATTACGGGCTTCCCAAGGTTTCTGAGGATGGATCTTGAAAAACATGCACACGTTAAGGCATGAATTGACCAGTAACTTCAATTTTGATTGTTAAATTTTCGTGTTCGCTTTATTTGAAATTAAATAATCTTCTGTCAGAGAAAAGAAAGTTATGCGTTGAGTTAAAAATCATTCATAATCCATTTGACGGAAGCCATAAGTTTGTTGAACGTAGTCGTTTTCGGTCAGAGAAAATAATTAATGCATTAACTTTAAAATCATTCATAATTCATTTGACGAAACTCATAAGTTTGCTAAGCGTGGTCGAGTAATGGCGTTGCCTGTTGCTGCCCCCAGCCTGCAACCGCACCTTCTACGGCGACGTGGGCAAGAGCTATGAAGTGTCCGTCAAGAAGCCGCCTGACTTGCTTACAACCTTCACGTGCCACCTCACCTTCATCGCGGGGGGCGAGACATACGGCGACCTCGTGCAGCTCACCATACAGGAGTTCAGGTGATTATTGTGAGGTCTGCGTAGGAGAGACTACAGCGATCTCGTGCAGCTCACCATACAGGAGTTCAGGTAATTATTGCATAAGGCGAGGCGTGGTCGGCTACCAGGTTCATGCTGCAATCTTCTTGTTCGCTCTTATAGTTTACCAGCGCTCAGCCAGCAATATTGCTGCCTTATCTGTCTCATGCACACAACCATGATCGCACAACATTAATAATCACACGTCACTTTTAGAAGTATTACTGTCTCAGAAATAATGTCATGCTCGGGTATATGCGATAAATTTAATTGCTGACTTAACAAATCGTCTACTAATCTAATCAAGACGTATGGCCCATAAAACGACATGATTTATTTACCCACATCCGTAGTACCCACAAGTAAGATTCAAACATGGGCGCAAGAGAATAATTCAAACTGCATTGAGTTGATGCAAGGCGGCAGCGCTGTTGTGATTCCCGGGCTTGTCGCCGTCCATTAAAGCTGCGCTCCCGCCAGCCCAGCGCCCCGAGAACACGTATAATCCTGGCAACAAACGCGTGCCCTCGTGAAGCTTTGACTTGACCAAGCCGAGCAAATTAGGGGACTTCAATCGAGACGGTGTCCTGACATCCACGACAGTTTTGTGTGCCTTCTATTAATTCATTACGCCATTTGTCTGACCATGAACATTCCGTCGCACTATGAATTGCAACTGTGCAAGATGACGCGGCTCCTACAAATGAGCTGCTTCCACGTTAATTGCGTACCTTATGTCAAAACCATTTCAATGGTCATTCAATATTTGTACCCTCGTTACTTGAATGAGTGATATTATTGTTTATTATAGTCTTCATTGCCGTGACACCGCAACTGCTGAGCAGATGTCGTTCTCTTGTGTCTCTCGTAACTTGGTCGCCTCTCACTTGAGAACTTTTCTTGAAAAATCAGTTTTGCTACGCCCTTGTTTCATTTTTAAGTAATGACTATGTCAGCAAACTCTGTTAAGAACGATTTTGTCTCCATATAAACTAAACTTGTGCCACTATAACCGCAAAAATCTACTTCAAACAATCCAGTTAGGAAGAGAAGTTAGGCGATTTATATCGCAACGATTCTTTTCAATGACTTTTGTATTTGTCGCCGAACTTTTCATCTCAGCTCTGAAGAATCTGGACGTATTTACATTAGAACTTTAGCTCGCCGTAAGAGCGTCCAATGTCTTGTTGACACTTTCTGTTTCTTCCCCTTCACTCAAATAAGGAAACTTGAAGTGGCACTTTTATCTGCGGCACTCACTGGCGCTTCCTTTGAAGCTCGATCGAATTTAAGTTTACAAGTGCTACGCTTTGGCTGCTAATTATCGCGTTTAAGTTCTCAAAGCTTTTGCCGAACCAACGGGGCAGACGCTTTGAAATTCCCGAGGTCAATTGAGGAGTGGAAGAACGTCTCATCAATGCGCATCATAGAACTTTTACGATATTTTCTTTTCATTTGTAAGAATTTATTCAAAAATTTCAAGAGAATCAATTTCTTCGTAATCAATCGATATTAATCTCATACGAATTGATATACTTCGCCATAGGAGCACCAACTGGTGAAGTGCAAATCGGTATTTTCTTGGTCTAATGTGTTAATCGCGTGTCCTTCTTTGAAGATGCCCTTAAATAAGATCCGACTTTCGAATTTTGCTTCTACCTTCCCTTACTTGGCTTCCTGAAACGTTGATCTTTGATTTGATTATTCCACGGCTTTCCTTTTGAGCGTTGGCAGGTGAGTGCAGTTTGCAAGCCTCAGTTCTAGAACAGTCCCTTACAGTAGTACATGTCTCTGGATTATATACTCACCTCTCGAGTTCTAAAGTCGTAATGCACTGAGAACTTGCTGCATGGAAGAGTGGCTGTGGAGCGACTGTAAATATTACCAATGAAACCAAAACCTTAAGAGAATAGTCTAGAATATTATTGCTATTCGATGAATTTTTTTACACTGGAGTGTAAAAATATTACGCTGTCATAACCACGTCGCATCTTTGTTGACAGTGTAGTTGAAGCCTCTTACGTTACATCCGGCTAGTGGAATACTATCATCCGCCCATGTGATCTCTAGCTGTGTTCGGTGCAACGGCGCATTAGTTAAATTGCACTCAACCTATTAACGGACAACAGAATCACGCACATCCTCGACCTCGGTTATTTCTTACAAAAGTAATAAAAACTGTTTATATCTAGATTTTTTCATTAGGAACACGTACCATTGGCCTATGCACTGTATTTTTTGCAATTAATACGTTTGTCTATGGAAATCGCATCAATTCTTCCACATTCACCGATAATTGATTGTGTGAACTCACGAGTGCAATTCCATCCACTTTAATCAGTGTCTCGTAGACTTGGCATAGCATCATAATAAAGAACACACTATAAATTTGTCCTTTTCCTTACTCCCACAAACTGATAAATTACTCTCATATATAAATTTCTTATCGCTTTCTTTTAATACCAATAGCTTTCATATCGTCAAGATTCGTTACATCATTACAATGCCAGCTGTGGCGGCTAACATGAGATTGCCAGCAGCTATATAACATGAGATTGCCAGCAGCTATATGTAGACCGAAATCACTTGTGCGGTCGAATGCTTGATCTCAAATCCGCGCGCGTCTACCCGTGTGCTCATCGAGTGCCGTTTGCTGGATGCCAACACTTCAATGGTCAGATCCTCACGCCCGGTGTGGCTTTATACTCGTCTAACCATCGTACGTCATTAGGATATCGCGTAATTTGAATAGGACCAACGTATCAAAAAATGTATTTTCCCCCTCAATTTGCGAGTGTGCACTGAGTGTGAAGATTAAAAGTTGATTAATCTAATGATTGAATATTACGAGATGCTCCAAAATAGCCTAGCAGATTAAAACCAACAACATGTAATAAATGAGAATCATGATGCACTAATATATTAATGTGACAGACACACATTAACGGAGCATAAAGCAGAGGAGCTAAGTTGCGTTGTCTTTTTCGGCAGCCTGGGCGACTTCTTCAGCTACAACAGCGGGTGTCCCCAGGGCTGGATGCAGATCAGTGAGCGCGACCGCCCCTACAGCGACGGCTACTGGTGCGGGGACGGCAAGGGCTTTAACATCTACTACAGCGAGACCAGCACCGTCACTCTCACGCTCAAGCAGTTCATTCCTATGGACTATATTCACTTCGAGGTATTTTTTCAAATCTAAAATAATCACTTTGCCATTTTTCATAAAACTTGATTGTAAAATACTTCCCAAATAGCCCTACCTTGAGCACATGTCTAAAGCGCCAGGACATAATGGCAAAAAACATATCATGTTAGGTAAACGTTGAAATAACAACCTTCATTTCATTCTTATCATATCGTATATGAATAAATGAATTCGCGTAACTGTGTCGTCTGTATTTCTTTTCCGTGGCAGAATTTGTTCCAAGCGCCGTTCAAGTTTCGGTTAAGCTACAAGACGCTGCGACTGGAGCAAGCCGTGCTGCGGTACGGCAGGCACCCCGCGTCCAAAAACAGGGGGGAACTCGCGCCCGGTGAGTCACTGCTGAGGTGTTATTAAAAGGGAGGGAAAATGGTCGGTGATGAGTTTAGGGTAGTGAATGTGGTGTTGTGGCGAGGAATCAGTGGTGCATTTTTACTCAGTTTTAGCGATGCGTGTCAGTGACTGATGAATCAAATGGCCCAGTGAGACACTTGAACAACAAAACCTATAGGACATACCTAGTACTGTATTTGGTTGTGAGAATTGTAGTGTTATGGGGTTTACATGTACGTGAGTGTGGGATGCTTACGAAAGAATGTGTGATGTTAAGTTTTCAGGAGGTGATTTGAGTGCTGCGTCATGAGATATTGTGTTGTTGGCTGTCTGAACTAATGGCATGTTTGTTCAAGAAGTGCAGACACACATTCTGGAAAGACACAAAATGAAAACTTTAATTTGTATGCTACATTATCGTTGCATAATTTTCTGATACAAATATAGAAGCCAGTATTTTGTGCCGGAAGCAAGTATATGTATATGAAGCCATCTTTAAATTCATGGCTTGTAAGCGAACTATTCGCAAGTTATTGCGAGTTCAGATTTGACGTGTAACATTTGGACGCAAAGGTAGGCAGAATATCTATCTCATTCTGGCCCGTATTTCACTTAGACCATCTCAGTTGTGCGACGCGATTTCCAAATAGATCTTTATAGCTGTCTCTGAGGAAAACTTTAGTCGCGACAAACGTCCAATTTGGAGCATAGGTCGCACAACAATAAAGTCTAGAAATAAGCCAAGTTGAAGCTGCAGGAAGTGCCAAAATCCAATGGCTAAGAATTTGGAACGATTCTTGGCGCGCCCCGTAGACTTATTTCGAAATGTTGCCAAGTCAAAGCTGGCTCGAGCGCAGTCTCTTCCGCTACCCAGAGCACAGCATTCAGGCGGGAAAAATTGCAGAGGCTCAAAGTGAGCGCCAGCAAGTGCCGAGATAAACTGAATCTCTTCCTAGTAAAAGTTGCGCTCTGCGAGGTTCTTCTGTGCGGTGCCACAGCGTCGTGTATCGCAACCATGTCTGATTTTTCTGTAATGAATCATACGTTAGGGTCTTGTAATCTGGCCTTATATTTTCTCGTTGACGTTTCACCGACCAGGCTCGCTGTGTGACCGGTTCTTCACGAACTGCGACGAGCACCGCTGTGCCGTGCAGAGCCCCAACTATCCTGGCATGTACCCTCGCCATATCACGTGCCACTACATCCTGCGCCAGACGCGCTACGTGCCATACTCCAGACCTCTCATCTCCGTCGTACAGAAGAACAGACTCAAGTTCAACGTCAAAGATAGATCAGCCCTGCCCAGCCAGGGCATCTTCCCTCAGGGGCTGCAGGTCTGTAGAACTTTTTTATTCATTTAGTTTTCTTCACTTTTCTATGCGATTTTCTGAATTTTCTTACGAAATTTTTTCGGAATTTTATTATTATTCTCTTTATCCCTATGTGATTTTTCTGCTTTAATTTATTATGAATCATTAGTATTTTCATTGCAACATATTCTCGCAACTGGTTTAACTGAATTTTTTAAATTCTTTGCGGGTTACTTAATTCGTTTCATAAAAGGATGATTTCTAGTGAGAGATTTTGCAAAGAAAATTTGGATACGAAATTTTAAAAGTCAATTTTCTTGTTGTAAAAAATGATGATGAAATGTATGAAATGTTGTTGCCTTAATGAATAAAGAATTCCGCACCACTACGGTATACGTTTTTTACATTCTTCAGTGATTATTGTGTAAATGATGCTCGCGAAAACTTTCGTTCCTAGTGAAAATAGGCCTCAGAGTATCTGGTTTTAACTATCTTCAGTTTGTTCGGGAAGAAAAATTTCAGTTCAGGCAAGAAAAAATGTATCATGACGACATTGTATTAAGACTTTTGATGCTTCCTGAAATTCATTTGTGAGGTAATTTTGGCTGTCAGATTATATCCAGGTGCTTTATATGGGCACAACTGCCCAAAATATTGAAGACTGAGCATTCCTTATGGACATTTTTATCCTCTATCAAGCGAATTTCCTCTTTTAGAATTCGTAATATTTAGTGTAATTACCGAAGTTTATGTCGTATTTAATAATTAAACACGCATCGTTGTTTTGTGACCTCTTACGCTACCTAAAAAATGGCCTCATTAAAAATACAGCCTTTAAACCTGTCGAAATGCCTGATTGGAAAAAATTCCTTTGTAGCTGGCCCTGCACTCCTGAACTAATGAACTCTTTTTCTTGCATTCATGAGTATGATATAATCGCGTTAACATGTATGTTTTTTTCTTGCTACAGATCTGGAACTCGTGCGATCTCGTTCACGATTTTTTGATGATCTATGACGGGAACTCAACGGACGCGCCGCTGCTGCTGAAAGTGTGCGGCTCAGGAGAGATGCCGCTGGTCACGTCCACGGGGTCTGAGATGCTCGTCGTGTTCACTACGTCTCGGTTTGACGAGCCCACGTCTGAGAGTTTTATGCCTCGTAAGATGGGTTTTGAATTGGATGTGAAGGTCAATTACCTCGACATGGACTCGCAGCGCTTCGCCAGGAATAGACAATGCGTCTTCCATATATTCAGTTCGAACAATAGAACAGGCGATGTTACATCGGTCATCAACAGCCAGCCTCGGAACTCCACGTGTGTTTATTTATTCCATGGTGAACCACATGAAGTTATTTGGATACACTTCCGCAAGTATGAAATATTGCCGAAATTGGGGCATTACACCGTCAATTTGACAGAGTGCATCAACCCGCTGTTTATTTACGAAGGCAATCTGTACGACACGAGACTCCCTTACAACGCCCCCCAGAAAATCACGAAGCTCGCCGACCACTGCACCACTCGCCCTCCTCCAATGTGTGCTCGCGAGTACCGCTACTCTCGCCAGGGCCTCGCTTCTGGCGTTAAATCTTGCACGCGCAATGAAAGCTACATCGCCAATGGGTCCAAGATGACCGTGGTGCAGTTCTACAACGAATCCACGGCGGCGCTCGGCATGGACTTTGTGCTGCGGTATGAATTTGTCAACACACGGCCTGGATACAGACCCAGCAACGACTCAAAGTGTGACCAAGAGGCCATTAGTGACGGCTACTCCCACCGCACTGGCCGCTTCTTCGCTCCCTTGACTTCGGTGTTGTACGGCCGCTGGGGCCACACGCATCTCAAGTGCCAGTACCGACTCCTCGCTGCTGCTGATGAAGTCGTCAGAATAACCATCACTAAATTCAGAACGGCTTCTCGCTACTGCTATACGACAATCAATAATTTTACGGGTAGCTATGACTGCGAAACTCACGGCAGACGCTTCGCGTCGCTCATCGTTTCTGAATATCCATGGAACGACATTGAAGTTCCTCGACTATGCACCTGCGATGATAAAGTTTTGCCTATAAGGTACGAGTCTCGCTCGCGAGAACTTCGTCTCAAGTTTGATGTAAGTAACATGGATGACACGCACGACTTTTATGACTTCATGTTCGAGGCTCAGTACGAGTTCATCAAGAAAATGTCATGCAAGAGAGAACAGCGCTTCCAAGGTACCAGCGGAGAGATTGTCTTTCATCACTTGAACATAAGCGACGAGAGACCTTGCAACAATTATCCTTGGCTTCTGCAAACTTCTGACTCTCGCAAGTCCATTTATTTCAGGATTCGTGGCTATGATCATCTCGACAGGAACTGTACGAGCACCACAAGACTCTTGATATTCAAAGTTGGACGCTTGAGGCCAGTCGGAGTCTTGTGCCCTGACCCGTACAGTAAGAACGTCGTGGAGCTCTTTAGCTTCGCTTGGCGAGGCTCAGGAGCTCTTGAAGAACAGTCCACGGACAAACTGGTGCTTGAAGTTACATCGCGGGATCAGAAAAATTTATACCCGCAAATTGGTCCGCACACTTTGTCGTGGCTGCAGGTATCGCCCGCCCGGCAGTACGACTGGGCTTCAGAGGGCATCGTGATGGGATGCCGGCAAGAGTGCCCCGAGCTCGGTGTTTGTATCAGCGAGGAATTGTGGTGCGATGGCATCCACCATTGCCCGTCAGGTCATGACGAGCTCATTGCACACTGCTTTTTCCAGTCAGTGCCGTGGGCCTACATAGGCGTGGGGTCGACCGTGAGTGTTTTGTTGCTCTTTGGCGTCATTATTTACGGTGGGATTCGGCTGCGTTCTGCGGGTAAAAAGAAAACTCGAAGTCCTACAATCCCCACACTTCCCACCGCCTCCGAGTCGCTCTTCTCCTCGGACAAAGACGCTGCAGAGCGCGACGGTCACGTGAGCTCCACGTACAGCCTGGACTACAGCGAGATGGACTACGTGACGACCTTATGAGGCGGCAAGATTGTAGCGGAGACTCGTGCGCGTCGTGGCCCTCCACGCCGGGGGCCCTCACGACATGTGGACGGTTGAGTCGTGTTTACGGTGCTCTGAATAGCCGTGCTTTATTCTAGTAATACCGTGATGATGCAAATTAGTTTCGAACAAACGCAAATATAGGAAGTTGTTTCGAACTTTAATGTATAGGATGCGAGAACAAAGAGAGCTAACAAATACGATGATTGCGTTATTCAGGCTCGGTAAAATGGGAAGAATGTTGCTTCTAGCGTCGCATATTAAGTGCGTGCAATCCATTGAATGGCATCCACTGTTGGGTAAACCGTTTAAAACATTAGGTGTCTCCAAATTGCAGGGTATATCCTAAAAAAGAAAATGTGAAGTCACTCTTAAATTAAATATGTACTCTTATTTGCTTCGCTATAAAATTATAAATGGCCTCGATGTACAATTTCAAAGACCAAGTACGTTTGCTTTGCACCTGTGATAGAAAAATCTCTCGAGTGCTTTCAACAGCCAAAATGGCAGAGGTGCTCAATATAAAAGTAATCTAATGGAAATGTGAGTAAATATAATTTTTTGTGCAACGATAAAGGCTTCAAGTCAGTCGTTATTGCATAGCCCCGGAGCTTTAGGTATCGCCTGCGTGCAGCTGAAGCCTCCAAATTAAAAGAAGAGATTTTCAGTTGCCGGGCCAAAGCGCCAGCACGACGCGCCCCTCGTACGAATACAATGGTGCATCTGAGCGATCAGTTTTCCACCATGGCAGGGTCTGATGCGAACTCCTTGTCACTGCAAGATAATCCGTTGACTTTTATCATTTCTCTACGATATTGCAGACCCTAGCAATCGAATGCAAATCGTACGATGTTGTTGTTCGGGAACTGCGTGCGTTGTTCCGTACTCACGCATAGTAGCTGATGAATAGATAAACTGTTAGGCATGTAAATACAGTGGCTTTAACTAGTGACCAGACCTGCGTGTGTCGTGTTCATAGAGAGACGCCTGTAGAGACTTCGTTTCGATCAGCCGTATGTCGTTTGAAATTGTTATTATTATAAGCTTAAATTTATCTTGCTTATCGAGTCTAATTTATCTGTAGATATTAAAATGTTTGCACATATTGTACCAAATAATTATTATCAACTGATAGTGTGCGTGAAGAGACTTTGTTATTTATGTTGAGTAATGCAATTTATTATCCTGAAAAATATCTGGAAAAACTAGCAATTACTAACGAAGGAACTGTATTGTGGAAATATTTTATTCCATCTACATTGCAATTTTAAGCCAAACTTGATAGGATATCAGAACATGTTTAGCTGTCGCAGAACCGTGAGCGTTGCAAAGTTACGCTTGATATTCAACATAGGATCACCGTGAGCGTTGCTAAGAACGTCCTACTCGTAGTTTTCCCATCGCGTCATCCACTTCGAGCACACTCGAGCGCTCGAGCCCTTTGCAGGATAATCTCGATTTATTTCACTTGCTTACGTGATTTTAAACGTTGTTACCCAGATTTTATTGAAATTCTATAATAATTATTATAATGTAATATTTAATTTAGGTGACATAGAAACGTACGTAATGTTAAGGCGATAACTTAAAGCCGGACATCTCGTGGGCCACTCGTGGACTTTGGCCCAGTGAACTTTGGGCCAAAAAGTAGCTTGCGGGCTAGAGGCTGCAAAACAAAAACAATTTAGTCGCACGAACAATGTAGTGTTTGCGGGGCCAGGCGATGTTAAACGTCGCGCTTCACGTTGAACAAAAGCGAGGACTGATCAGTGGTCTTATGGTATCCTAAATGGCTTTGATAATATTCCACTCACTTGTTCAGTGAAACTTTCTTTATGAGCTAAAGGGAAACGAGTATTGTATCGCATAATGTTGGTATAAAACAAAGGACCAGCCGAAAATAGTTTGTACAAATCTGTAAGGCAATTTTAACTGCATTAGTCTACAGCCGTGACGCGAGCCTCACAGAGCGACGAGGTTGAGGTTCTCTACCTGCAAACTTTTTTCACAACAGAGCTTGCGATCATCTAATCGAGTAGCGTGTTATATGTACTTGCCAAGAATTGTCTCAGTATTCTAATTGCTAGTTTTTTGTCAAAGTAGATTTTATCTTTGCGCTTGAATCGTCGGAAAATTTCGGAATAAGAATCGAACATTCAGTTCTGAGTGATGTGTGTGAAAGTTGTTAAGTACCTTTGTTGTTAATAACGTTTTCTTGGTAGCATGTATTAAAATGAAAAGTTTTAAATCATAGCATCATTTTAGACAACTCCTCATAAAAATGGTACATTTTTTTAATATTTTTACCATCACTTGACATATATATTATTTTTTTATTCAATCCAATTGGGATTTTGAATTAAAATGAACTGCATTGATTTACTCGACGTCATCATGACGTTGACCAGTTTTCATCAGCTGGTATCCACGATACAACGAGCGCCTTGTATGAGGTTGCGCTGTCTCACTTCGGTCGCCTGTAGTGGTGCGGTGTTGGTCTTCTGTGTCACTGCTGCTGCAATATTTCATGCGAGAATGTCGAGTTTGACGAACTGAGTAAACTAAATATCATCTTGAGATAAATTCTGAACAGTGCTATAGGAAATAATTTACTTTGATTTGCAATCGTGAAAAGAAATTTGCGTTGTACCGCTGTTTTTGAGTGTAGTGAGGTGTCTAAAACGATGCAACCCAGTAGAAGTGAATCGTGGAATTTTTGTAACGTATGAATATTTGGTGTAGGGAGTATATATGATCTTGTTTGGCTTCGCCTGACAAGCGATGTCTCGTGTTGGACGATGGTGGACCAGCTATACACTGTCGCATCGCTGCTCACGTCTAAATTCGCATCGCTATCATGCATATTATTTCTTGTACAAGTGACTTGTGAGGTATTAAAGACTTTACTTCAGAGTATTTTAGAATTGATACATAATAGCCGTAAAGTTTACCACTATAAGACAATAAGAACTTATTTTCGTGAATATTCCAGAAGAGCTGTCAGTAGATTAGTTCAGATAGTTCGCTCGTTCATATTTAACTGCACCGATCAATCGCTATCACATTTACTATGTTCAGCTCCCGTGTAAATAGCAAGACTCCAATTATACCCCCAACCTACGAGCACATTAATGAGACCATGAGTGTAGCATTGGTTTTTCCTCATCCGATTTAATTAGTAATATCGAAACCCTTATTGAAGCCTTCATATTTTCAAATATTCAGCAATTAGTCGGAACTCCTTAAGATAGAACGTCACATTAATCACTTGGAAGATTTTGCTCTGCCTAATTTAATTACAAGTCGCTTCCTCTGCCAATTTCTGCTTGTTATGCTGCAAAAATTTCGCAGTAAATCACGGTAATCAAGGAAACATTGCGTGGTCTTAGGAATAAAAACATTTAACGGGAGGCTAAGCTCTGTGAATGATCGTAATTCATAACTTCATCTTCGACGCGTAATGGACTATAGACGAACCAATTAATGGAGAACAAAGAGAGTTAAATTGAACGAATATTCGCTAAGCTTATAATACGAAATGTTCTTCCTTTGTTTGTGGGTAATTAATGAATTGTCTGGAAAAAAAACGAGTCAAGTTGCAATAATCAGGACGTTTGGCAAATTTTTTTCCATTAATGAATCGATTACCCCAATTTTCTTTCAATAATTTCAATAATAATTCCTCTCTTTTCATTTCAATAATCGAAGTTTTGATTGAAATTAACCGCTCAAATTTAATAATAGTTCCAGAAGACGGATCATGATAACACTTTATTGTCTGTGAAAATTTGTCCTTAACAAATCAAGTTTTCCTCTCGTGGAGATAAGAAAATCCCTCAAGTAATATTTAGAAATTCATAAAGTACTTTGAATAGTAAATTTATAATTTGGTGAATTTCTACAAATTTAATGCTACCAGGAATTTATTGCTAACAAAGCTTTTTGTGGCGGAATTTCTACAACGTGCTTTTTTATGTAGTGTTGCACGACTCCTTTTATGTTGTTAATCCTAAAATACAAATACAATTGCATTTGTCCTCTCTTAATTCACGACAGCTAATTGGTAGTGGAGTGTCGAAAAGAATTGGCATAACAGTCAAGGGCAAGTGGCATTGGCGATAATTAATAGGAGGAATTGATATAATTTCCTGACTCAAACTTCATTGCTGTGTGCTCGGCCGTGGTTTTGAGTCTCGCTTTACAAGGCTTCTCTCATCGAAGATCTTTGCTCAAGCTTTATAGAGAATTTCTTCGCCGGACTTCATAAGCGAGCATTATACTTAAAACATGAAATATTCTCAGTCTTATTTCAGATGTACTCCTTAGTACGTTTTACTGCCAAACTGTATATATATAATAAAGTCGTTTCCTATTTATCTCGTTTTTATCCTCCCAACAAAAAAAGAAACAACATTGCCTACAAATAATGTATTATAAAAGGACACTTCTCAAATAACGCTTATAACAGCACTATTGGGATACTGTTCTAAATTGAAGCATGCAACTATGTTATTCGTATAACGTTCATATATGAGCCATAAAGCAGCCATATATGCATATTGTTTAAAATGCTGCGTGTGACAGCATCATTCAGACATTGTGCTAAAGTGATGCGTAACACAGTACCGTTTGCCTATTGTTCCAAAATGATGACCGGAACAGAACCAATATTGTTCCAAATGATGCATATTAGAGCACTAATACCCTCTATAATGATGCGCAAAACAGCACCATGCAATAAGTCACTCTATTCCACCTCCCACTATTCGGTGATGAAACTGGAATGATAAATTTCATGATTCCAAAATCGATTCATAAAAAGCTCAATGTGTTACCTGCTGCCGTGTGGACAAAGCTCATATGTGTTACTTGCTGCCGTGTGGACAAAGCTCATATGTGTTACTTGCTGCCGTGTGGACAAAGCTCATATGTGTTACTTGCTGCCGTGTGGACAAAGCTCATATGTGTTACTTGCTGCCGTGTGGACAAAGCTCATATGTGTTACCTGCTGCCGTGTGGACAAAGCTCATATGTGTTACCTGCTGCCGTGTGGACAAAGCTCATATGTGTTGCCTGCTGCCGTGTGGACAAAGCTCAATGTGTTGCCTGCTGCCGTGTGGACAAAGCTCAATGTGTTGCCTGCTGCCGTGTGGACAAAGCTCAATGTGTTGCCTGCTGCCGTGTGGACAAAGCTCAATGTGTTGCCTGCTGCCGTGTGGACAAAGCTCAATGTGTTGCCTGCTGCCGTGTGGACAAAGCTCAATGTGTTGCCTGCTGCCGTGTGGACAAAGCTCATATGTGTTGCCTGTTGCCGTGTGGACAAAGCTCAATGTGTTGCCTGCTGCCGTGTGGACAAAGCTCATATGTGTTGCCTGTTGCCGTGTGGACAAAGCTCATAAGTGTTGCCTGCTGTCGTGTGGACAATGCTTGATGTATACCGCACTGCTATGTGGATAAATTTCGATGTGTCCTCTGCTGACGTGTGGCCAAAGCTCGATGTGTTACCTAGATGATGCTATCGTGTGGACAATGTTTGATGTATACCCGGCCACACTGCTATATGGATAAAATTCGATGTCCTATGTTACCGTTTAAACAAAGCTCGGTGTGTTCCCATGCAAATCAGACAATCATGCTCTCGGCTCGTGATGCCGAGAGCATCAAGAGCCGTGGAGTTGAGTGGAGCTGCTGTCAGTTATTCATTTAAGGCTCATATCACGTCGCGCTTTTTGACGACATTCCCGACAATGGGGCCATAGGACGACCACAAATCACGGGTCTCGGGAGCCTCGTTTGTTACAATTAACCCGACAGACGGAGACGCTGGCAGCATCGTGAGCACTGGACCTCGCAGCCTCCTCCTGACGCCACAACTCGGGCCGCAGACTTCATATTCTGTCACAAATTCTAATATTGTGAAATATTTTCCTTTGCTAATGATAAATCGTGCCGGTGCTGAGAATATTTATATATAAGGGTGCAAAGTTTAAAATTTATTTCTGATTGAAAAGTAAATTGATGTTTAGCGAAAACATATTGAAAATAGGTCCATGATTGTATTAAAAAATAATGAAGGCAACTGAGAGAGAAACATTTTTGAATCAAAAACAAGGTTAAAGCAACTGTAAACTGTGTCGAACGATGGTTAACTGGCCTGTGAACAGCTA